AACTGCATGGGTTCAATAAGCAGACATTTGGCAGGATGGTTTGGACTGTCTCAGAAATCACAGCATCTCTCTGGAAGGGGCCTTGCTCACTCTTGCCCCTGCTACCCAAACCAGCTGTCACATTTCTGAAATCTGTGCTTCCCTCTGGCATCCCATGTATTTCTCATCCCCCAAACGCACTCTGCTCACTGCATCCATGCCACTCATATTCAGAAGCGCCAGTTCTGCAAAAGGCTCTGTTCTGGTATATTTATATTCAGTTAGAGCATGAAATGCCTACAAGAAAAGGGCGAGGGAAAAGGGACACACTTCTATGTCCTTTCATTAGTGGTTTGCTTTGAGGATATGCAATGATCATGTGTGCTTCTTTTCACCCACAGATCTAAAGCACTGTATACACTGTTGGGTAAATAATATAGTCCCTTTTACAAAAGGATTAAGGTGGGACTTTCGAAGGAGTTACCCTGCTCCTTCTAAATTTTCTAGAGGCCTGCTTTGAATGCCCAGCCACCGAGACCCACTTGAAGCTCAAGGTGAGGCAATGGCTACGAATCCACATCTTTTCACTCATTTCCCAGGTTTGCAAGCATTTATGTTGGCAAACCTTTTGTCTCAGTCGCAAGCCTAGCCACTGGGTCATGCTACCCCTGATTAATAATTGAATGGCTACTAATTGCAATATGTGGTGGGAGGGAGGGAAAAATAAAACACAAATAAAATATAGAACCACTTCGTAATACAACCAAACCAGTTTTGCATCTCTTGCATCGTTTGGCAAGCATGGAACAAGTAACACAGTAATACAGAAATGTATTTGGTCAAAGTAAGGAATCAATATTTTTCAATAAAATACATTCTATAATAATGCTCATTCACATTTATTACACATGTAAATTAAATCTTCTATGTATAAAATTCCAGTTTATTCTCAGTGCTGGTTGGTCATGCTTCAGTTCAGCAGCAGGGCTCAATACATTTCACTCCTAGCAAAGTGAGAGGGAACAAGAGCACTCAGCTCTGTGCAGGACCAAGCCTCACACATCCCCTGGTCCTGCAGGTCCCATCTGAACAAAATCTTGCTGGCATCAGTGGGAGTTGTGCACACCTGTGCACTGCAGAAGGGCCCCCAGCTGTCCAGCACTTGTAGTCTGGTGTGGAAGTCACCCAAATGGTATATGGCATTCCAAAAAAAGTAAGTTAGTGAATACAGAAAATAATAATATATCTACATAATTTACAGCGTTGTTTGCTTGCAACCATATTAATGTTCAACCCCTCACTAACAATTCAATCAATACACAGGGAAAGGTAGCAGAGTGCAGTACATATTACAACCTCCTGTATGCAGTTGCAAGCACTGGATCCTACAGTCTTTCCTCATTTCCTGAATTCCCACGTATCCTGCTGCCAGCCAGAGCCCAGTTCTCCACTGAGCCTTGTGGAGTCAATCCTTCACAGCATTTAGGCTTGTCTGCACCTCCACCGTGGGCCCCTAACACGGTGCAAGGTGCATTTAGCAGCAGCTCTTCAGCTACTACCCTGGTCCACCCCTGCACCCTCCCCTCTGCTGTGCTGGCACTCGTCTGTGCAGCCACACACTTAGCCAGACGGTAGGATTGATCCAGCTGGAAAACTACCTGTCTGTAAAAAGGCAGAGGGTTATATGCCAGTCAGACGTACCCCTCAGCCCAGCTCACGATGCAGCCATGCCACAGCTTCTGCAGGTGTGTGGGTGGGTGCCTGCACCTTCCCCTGAGTCAAAAGGGTGCAAGTAGCCAGCAAACCTGGATGGCAGGACTATTCCCCCTGCTTGGGTTACTGTAAACTGCTTGCTTGCATTATGCTAGAGCAGAGAAAAGTCAGCCCCTACTTGTATAAGCCACGACCCAAGGACTGGATGCTATGAAGAGAAATGTTTTCCTGAAGGAAGGCTTTGTTTGAGGTTATAGTATCTGTCCTAGCTGGAGAGGAAAGAAAAATTTAGGGACTTAAAGCAGGGATGGAAACCACTGGTCTTACACTTTATTTTAGTAAGCAAAAAGCCTATTGCTGCTGTACAGTGTTATACAATGAACTGCCACAGTTCTCACGTCACTAGTCCATAGAAAATGTGCTGCGACTACCATGTTTACGCTGCATGCTGAAAGAATGTACAAAGTTGCATTAAGCTCTGGTTTTCTTCCGCTTTTTTTTCTTTTTATATTCTTAAACTCTGACTTTTACAGTGTTGTAGACACTTCTGTGCAGACTCAGGTACCACACATCATCCCAGTTACAGAAGGTCTTTGCCTCCAACTGAAAAAATCATGTGCTATGCATCTCTGAAGCCACTATCATCAAACCACCAAGAAAACTTGCTCTCTTTAGTAACCTTGGAAAAACAGTCTTTAAAAAGTCTATTGAAAAGGAGACATTGTTAATAATAGGGTTTTCAAAATTATGAGAGCTGTTTCTAGGAGTTGTCCAAGCGTTTTCTCTTCACTCACTCTTTGTTTTTATAAAGCTAATTCTGTATAAAAGGGCTTTTGAAGCGTGTGACCTTTGTCTAATGGTTTTTAAAAAACTGGAAAAAAGGAGTGAATTTAGAAACATTTTTCTTCGGCTGTATTACAACAGAATTACCTTTGCTTCTTAAATTTTCAGTACAAAAGGCAAGTAAATAAAGAGACCCTGCATCTTCACAGTCTGGCACTCATCCAAGTCACTTAAATCTATGCAAAACAGGTACAAAACATGAGGGTCTTCCTCTCCTTTTTAACAAGACCCTCACCAAACCCTTCTGGGGAGCAAGTTCCCTGATAAATAAAACTCACTAGATTTTATATCAGTCAAAGTAGTAGTATTTCAGCTCCCCTTCAAAGAGATGTAAATGACCTAACTAGCTCAAAGGCCCAGGGAGAGGAAGAGGTCCAGCATAATTTTAAGAACCAGGTGCTGGTTTATACCCCTATGGCTTCAATGGTAGGTTGCACTCAAGTTGCACTTAAGGTGCACTCAAGAAGGACCCTGGAAACGACAGGCCAGTCAGTCTCACTTCAGTGCCCAATAAAATCATGGAAAAGATTATTCTGGGAGGTATTGAAAAACACCTGGAGGACCACACAGTCTTCAGCCACAGCCAGCTCGGCTTCATGAGGGGAAAGTCCTGCTTGTGGAACCTGATTTCCTTGTATGACAGGGTAACTCACCTACCTGATCTAGGAAAGCCAGCAGATGTCATCTTTTTGGACTTCAGCAAAGTTTTTGATACTCTCTCAGTATCCTTCTGGACAAAATGTCCAGGACCAAGCTGGATAACCGTGTTATGTGATAAGTGAGCAACTGGCTCACAGGTTGGGCAGAGGAGTTATAATGAATGGGGTAACACTGGGCTGGCATCCAGTCACTAGTGGGGTTCCACAGGGCTCCATTCTCAGCCCAGTTCTCTTCAGCATCTTCATTAACAACTTGGATGCAGGACTCAAAGGATTACTAAGTAGGTTTGCCAAAACACTAAATTGGGAGGAGCAATTTAGTGACTCCCTCCAGGGCACAGAGGCCCTGCAGAGAGACTGCGACATATTAGGGAGATGGGCATTCTCTCACCAACTCAATGAAGTTTAACAAGGGCAAGTGTTGGATTCTGCACCTGGGACAGGGCAATCCTGGTTCTGTGTACAGACAGGGAAGGCTGGAGAGCAGTACTATGGAAAGGTACCTGGGGATCCTGGTCAATGGTAAGCTGAATATGAGTCAGCAGTGCCCTGGCAGCCAGGAGGGCCAACCATGTCCTAGGGGGCATTAGGCAGGTCCAGGGAGGGGATTGTCTCACTCTGCTCTGCACTGGCATGGCCTCACCTTGAATATTTTGTGCAGTTTTGGGTACCACAATATAAGAAAGCCATTAGGCTATTGAGGAGCATCCAAAGGAGGGCCACGAGGATGGTGCAGGGTCTGGAGGCGAAGCCGTATGAGGGGTAGCTGAGGTCACTTGGTTTGTTCAGCCTGGAGGAGACTGAGGGGAAACCTCACTGCGGTCTTCAACATCCTCACGAGGGGAAGCAGAGGGGTGGGTACTGATCTCTTCACTCTTGTGACCAGTGACAGGACTTGAGGAAATGGCAGGAAGCTGAGTTAGGGGAGCTTTAGGTTAGATATCAGGAAAAGGTTTTTCACTCAGAGGGTGGTTGAGCACTAGAACAGGCTCCCAATGGAAGTGGTCACAGCACCAAGCCTGCCTGAGCTCAAGAAGCATTTGGAGAACACTCTCAGGCACATGGTGTGATTGTTGGGGTCTTCTGTGCAGGGCCAGGAGTTGGACTTGATGATCCTGATGGGTCTCTTCAAACTCAGTATATTCTATGATTCTAATTTACGATGCCACGAGGTTTGAGTAATAATTTGGCAGTGTATCAAAACCAGCGAAGCTTAAAGTTGGTTGTCATGCAGAAGTGGGATAGGCGATGGCTATTTTTTACTTCATTTGTAAGAAAGCAGCACTTGCCTTTGGATCACATGGTGTTTTGAGTACCAGGGCTGGCAATAATGTGTGCTGCTGATACGCATTACTCCCAGCTATTAATTCAGCACTTGTAAACTCAGGTGTCAGTAAAACAACATTAATATGTCTGACACCCCCTGGATTTCCCACTTCCCATTATTATTGTTAAGCCTTCACGAGCACTTCTGCAGCAGCAACCACTATTAAACTACTGTTTTTAAGGAGAAGTTTCTCCAAGTTTGGTACTTTTTCAAAAACTATAGCTGTTGAACTAAACAGAAGAGCGCAGGTTGTGTGGTGTTTGCTCTCTGCGCTGGTTTCCTTGGAAGGGTCACCGGTGAGGACTCGGCACTCTCACCACACGTTTCCTACATTCTCAGTACTCTACATTCACGTCAGCGAATGCTACTCTCGAGCACAAATCGAAGAGACAAGTCAGCAACAAAACTACTTCTAGACTGATAGCGGCAGAATGCTACCAAGACAACTCCATAGAAAACCCACTGAAGCAGGAGCAAAATTCAGGTCACTTCTTAGCAAAGCTCATCACAAATTATTATTTTTTTTTTTTTTAAAAACCATTTTTTTTGTAAAACTTTTATCTTGGCAGCCAGATATCCCCTTGTGATGTGCTAATTCGAACAGGCTAACGTGGGACCACCTGACCCCACCTGGTACCAAAGACTTCCGAATTATTTTAGCTTCTCAGAAAATCACTGCTGACTGACACCCATCTGTTGGTGATCAGCTTCTGGTTCCTCTTCTTCCACATCTGCGTTATATTCTTCAAATGCATCATCATCAACATCTGGAAGCCCAAGTAACTACAAAGAAGAGAAAATACTGTGTAACAGTGAATTACCCACTCATGCAGCTTTACTGCAAATCTTCACACAAATCCTACATGCCACTTCTTGAAAACCTTAAACCCTGGAATAACAGTATTGCATAATGATCTTGGCTCTCTTTCTCTCCCTCCTGGGATAGAGAAAGAGTTGAAAATGCATCCTCACACCAAATTAAGTGCTCAGAGACCGGAAGATAAATAAAACCAAAACAAAGCACTTGCAAAAAGCTTCACATTCTTCCCTGAGGTCGCATTATGAATTGTTAAGTGTTTAAGACTTGGCAGTGGTTTAACTTCAGAAAGAATCATGATAATACTGTAGCAGTAGTTATCTTGGTTTAAGATTGTTTTTTAGCAACACTATAAAAGCCAAAGAAGAAAGCATCCTCATGCAGAACTGGCTAGTATGGAGTAGGAAAGGACTCCCTAAAAACCTTAAGAATCCAACCTGTTAAATGCTTCTCTTGAACCCTTCACTCCAATACACCAGACAAAGCCTTGTACACTGGGTGAAGCCCTTGTAGTGAGAAATACTGTGTATTCCACTCAAAACTGTCTGAGCCCCTTTAAACTTCTGCAAATTAGATCTGGGCTTGTGAGGAACTGCAAGCCCGTCTTCTTTGGACAATGTTTGGATGCCTCCACCTGATGGCTCCGATCACTGCAACGTGCCTTGTTCACTACAGGAAAAGGAGCAAACAGCCATGTTTGAACTTTTCTCCTCTCCTCCAAAAGGCTGCCAAGCCAACAGAAGTCAGGAAGACAGATAAACCAAATAATACTCAAAATAACACATCTGCTGTGGAAATCTCGTATTAGAATCCTACACTAACAGCTATTAATAGCCACAAAGCAAAATTATATGCCAGGCATTACTGGGAATACCATGTATATAGCTTGCAAGGGCCGGAAGATCAGCGCAGATGCATGAAAGACTCTGGAGAGTGATGCAGCTGTTAGCTCTTGAAAGAGGCAAAGCCCATAAAAATTGGGAGGAGGGTGACACTCACCAGGTGACAGCATGAAAATGAGAAGGCTGAGACAAGGCAGATTTTCAGGGACCTAAACTAATTTAGTCTGTGATCAACATTCAAGATTATTAAGTGGACACAAATACAACACACAGAATTAGCTTCTGAATGCAATGAAGCTTGTATTCCTCACTGTCACTGGGAGTTTTTTAGTTGCAGGGCTTCTTCAGCAGGGAAATGGAAGGAGAATTTTCTGACTACATCCCCTCCTTTGTATTTTAAAAATACTTACAGAGAGACTCCAAATGGAAAATGTTCTTGTCTTTTGAGCAGAACAAAGTAAATTCCTATGTGTACATATCTCTCAAATCAAATGCTTAACTGAACGTGAAACTGCTTCGTTCATTTTCAGGATGCGGGGGTTTTGTTTTGTGTTGAAGCTAAAATTAAAATACTCAGTTTTCAAAAGGCAAAAGCAAGGGCTCTCTAGACTTTCTTATACACCAGTATTATTTTTTGCTAAACTGATCTGGTGGATTCAAATTAAATGTGAGTGTTGTACTCCTCTGTTTATATCACCTGGTAGAAAGAGTTTGGACCCTATTTTTTTTTTCCCAGCTCTGGTTATAATTCCTCCTTGATTTGCAAGGAAATGAGGCACATGAGTTTTCATTTTATGGGATACTGCAAGACTTCCTCATGTAAACATGAGCATGGAAAACACAACATACACCACAAGAACCGCAAAGACTTATACAGTCCCAAAGCATGGGAAACACATCCTGCTTTTCACACATCCCCTCTCTCTTCGCCCTTGGGAAACCCAGCTCTTCTTCCTCTGGAGCAGTGCAAATAAGAGTGATGCTGCAGATGTTGGTGGTTTTATGGAGGAAGGATGGGGATGGGATGAAGTGGGGTGGAGTGGAATGGGATAGGGTGGGGTGGGGTGGGATGGGATGGGATAGGATAGGATGGGAGGCTCCTCCAAGGAAGAAGCAGTTTTATTCTCTCACGGACACTTTATAACCTTCCAAGGCACCAAGGACCTTGACCATGCAGATCTCACTTTTAGAGGCTGAATCCTGTCGCCTCCCACAGGACTATGGTCCCTCACTGCTGTTAACCCCTTACTGCTCTCTGGACTGCAGTGGCAAGTCAGCCCACACCTTGACACCAAGAAGGGATGATCAGGGTCCAAAGTGCAGGGAGCTCTACAAACACTGGGTCAAAATGGAAGGAGGCTGTACAAAAGATAAGGACAAAATAAGATGATGAAGATGGCCTGAGTTGACCCTAGACTAACTCCGACCTTGTCTTCTTTCAAACACACTAGTTTCTGCTTCTAATCCATATCTGCTTCAGATATTACATTATCAGCTGTGTGGCAGACTTGAAAGGATTTAATTGGAGAGCAAAAATAAGGAGAAAAGAGGTAAAAGAGGAAAGGGGTGTAGAAACAGAGAGCTGATCCATCAGTCAAAGGGCCAAGGGGAACAAAACTGCCAGGTGGAGACCCATGGAGAGGAGGAAGACAGGAGCATGGTGAGAAGGGAGGGAGGAAAACAGGGAGAGAAGATAACAACCAGTGGCAGCACTGCCTGAACTACATCTATTTATTCCTGCTGGCCAAACTACACATCTGGAGGTAAAGGAGAGGTCACCAGGATATGTATGAATTCAGTGAATATGGGATAAATGGCTTTTTACACTGCAGACTCCCTAGTTCAGATGTAGGCTTTTTCAGGCTGAAGAGGAGTGCAGTGTGCGACACCTGGAATTTGCCGCTGAATTGTACAACTCATGCCAGTTCGTGTGATGTCCCTCAGGCATTTCTTAAATTTGTCTTTTTAACTCTTCCCAAGTGCCCTGATTTTATACAAATAATCTAGTAGTTATTAAGTCACAGAGGCAGAGTGACATTGCCTCCTACCAAAAGCTGATGCACAGGCAGACTGATATATTAACCAAGTACAAGACTGAGCTTTAGCGGTCCATGTGATACTACACTAGAGACAACACAGTTCTGTTGAATCCTTGTGGAAAGGGCTTAGTCTCCAGGCAGATATGCTTACAAGAACTAGCATGGGCACCTCTGGCACCTGAGCGTGGCACCTCTGACACCAGAGAGACAAGGGCATTGGAGGAGTGGGATGCTCTGAGGCAAGTAACAGTATTTGAACCCAGTGCTGTTGATTGATACCATGTACCTGCATGGTGTCTGGCACTTTTGGATGTTCTCTGAATAAGTGGATAATAAGGCAAATCAGAGTTTTGTGGAAACTGATCCAGGAATGCATTAATCGGCAAAGACAACATTTCCCCCCGACTTCAGTAAAGAAAAAGCTTGAGCTTGCCTACAGCAGGATTTAGAGGTGTGGTTTAGCTGTTGCAGGTTAACCAACACTTTTTAAAAGCCTTGTCTAATGAAATATCTTTCTCTGGAACTGTAACATTAGGGAGAGATGCCTGAGAGCAGTGAGGGATGGTGAGCAGCCCCAGAGCACCCTTGCTGCCTTCTGTGCCCAGGGAAGAGTAGTGAGCAGAGGGAAATCTGTCTCTCATTGAGACAGATGCCAACTGCTGGGCATCCTTGCTCTCACTGTCTCTGAAACACAGGACCCTGTGCAGCAGCAGCCAGTCCCTTCCTACCCCACAGCCTCAGGGTAAACTTGTGAAGTCACAGCTGGTCTGTGACTGTGAATGTGCAGAGCAGAGCTGAGCTCAGTTACTGGACAAATATTGGTCTTGGACCCCTCAGTTATGGGAGGGCAGATGCTCATGCTGTGCATAAGGGCATGGAAAGATGCAGATGCACTGTCACTATTTTATTCTAAGTATTTCCCTTCAAAGGACCCCAACAAAGAATTTCAGAACTGTCTAATAATCTTGGGTGTCTGTTGGGAATACTGAAATGGAGAAGACTTTCAAAAGGTGCTTAGCAAGCACATGCCAAAAACCTAGTCCCCCCTCCTCCCAGACTGATAACCAGGACCACGAGATACTTCAGAAGAGCCCAGTCTGACCTTCAGCAGTTTTTACCTAAACTGACATTTTTCAAACTGAAGTTTGCCAGACTGGTCTCTGACAGCAGATTTGCTTGGGACAGTGGAGAAGAAATGCCCTGCAAATGCACTGTTGCCTTAAAGCTGACAGCAAGGTGGTTTCATTAGCGAAAGGGGTCCAGCAGAAAAAGGACATGGGACAGCATGAAGCGATGCCAAGGAAATAATTTCCCAATACTGAAGAAAAGTGACTTTGTTCTGGAAAAGGCCTGAGGGCACAAAATAACTGTTTCCATACATCTATGGTAACACCACTCAGTTTTAAAAATCTTTCCTACCATGTATGTGCTATTTTTAATAATTACAATAAGGGAAAAATGTCAATACATTCCTTATTAGACTTATCTACATAAAACCGTACCTCAAATCATAAACCCAGTTTTGTTATACAGATGCAAATCTCTCAGTACTAGGCCAAAGGAGAATCCGAGAAACTTACTCTTTGTGGTACATCCAAGAGAAAATGAAGAGGTACTTGATTACAGTCTGCAAGAGGTTTCTGGCAGTTGAAGACACCGTTTTTGAGCAAACAAAAGCAAAATGAAATTCAACAGCTAGGAAGCAAAACTAGAAGAATGTAGATTGTAAACAAAAGAGACTTTCAGAGCACCATAACTAATAATGAGAAGAGAAAGTGCCCAGCAGTGTTGTATCCTTTAATTCACCTGAAGACTTTACATCAAGAGTGGGTGTCTTTGGAAAAGACACATTCCAGTTCAACCATGATTTATGTGCTTGGTTGTCGGAATCATGGGGTGAAATGTGATGTATTAATGAAGGGCCCAGGCTACATAAGCATAATGGTTCCTCCTGCTTTGAACCTTTTTATTTTGAAGAGCAGCTCAACTTGGTTTGACTGAATTTCTCAGTAACTTAAACTATGCAGAAATAAATGTGGTTTAAATGAAATAAGTAATCTGTACCAATTGAATTAAGTCTTTCTGAAGTCCTCTTTAGTTAAACCAGTGGAAGTTTCTCATCAGAGGCACAGCTTCTCTGAGCAGGAGAAAACAACCATGAAGATCCAAGAGCCAAATACTGTTCTGGGAAGCATATTTATATTTTTTTGTATGTTTTCACAATTACAAGCAGCTGTAGTGACAGATCAGATTTCCAGTCCTTTCTAAGAAAAGTGTGCATCTGTTCTATTTATTTCCAGCCTCTCAAAGGATTCTTTAAAATTATGCTCTTTTATGTCGCCCAGCTGTGGCGGTCTGCGGCAAATCATTGCAAGGGTGTAACACAGGGAGGGCCAGTGCTTTCATAGCGGTGCTCCAGGCCCTCCCTTTTGCACTAAATACTTGGGATACATTTTCAGTCTTCTCAGCTAGTCATCCAGAAAAAGACAGGAGGGGAAAAGGTCTACATTTTCAGTTGAGTATAAAAATGTCCATCAGTCAACTTTCTCAAGGACATCACGGGAGAATGGCTCTGGCAATGAACCTCTGCTCTGCACCAAGTCATTAGCCAGCCCCAAGCATTCAAAAGGAGAGGCTGTGCAAAGGGAGGATTTGGCAAAAATGAAGGACAACAGCCAGCCTAAGACACCTCACCCTAATGAAATCCAGGCTTTGACCCAAATCTTAGTGTTAAACAAGGACAGAGAAAGCTGAGCAGCAGCAAAACAGAAACACACATGCCCCCTCTCCACAAAACCCAGCTTCTGTTCCAGCTTCTTCTCAAGCAGTGACCAAACTGGCGTTTGCAAATACCAAGTGGCAACCATCCTAACAGCAAAATCTGGATCACTCGGGAGGAAAAAAAAAGCCAAACATAAAATAAAACAAATCACTCTGAGGAGAGACCGTACTTCCAGCTTCCCAGAGGTCTACTCCTGCTACTCATATCCTTGCAAAACTCCCCAATTCCAGTGCCAGGAAACAATTCTGCCACAAAGTCCCACAGCGCTGACTCGTGTCCCGTTCCTCGGAGTCAGCGCTGCATCAGCAGGATGCAAGTCCCTGCCCGCTGCCACCGGCTGACGCACCAGTTGGCCTCCCACCCCGGATGGGAATCTCATCCTCTCAAACACAGAGATGAAAATAAAAAGGCAGCTAACTTCCAAGAAACAATTTCCAACGGCCTAACAGTAGTCTATGTATAACACTCATGTGCCCAGGCAGCTGACTGGAGGTATAAGCTCCTGGAGAAGAAAAAAACACCTTGCTCTATCCAGTGCTGCTCCATTAAGTCGCAGGCAACAGTCAAACATTAGAAGTAAAAAACACACTTACAGGTCTGAAGGATTTGAAGACTTTTTCCAATATTTCATGGAGTGTCTTTTTCCCACAGGAGGAGATGTAATCCTGTGCGAGCTGCAGAAAAGGTAAGCAGTCTTCACTTTCGCTCCACACGTGCTGAAAGCCAACAGCAACACAAGAAAGTAAAGGCATTAACAGGAATTCACGCCAACCTTTCCATGTGATTTTATAAGGTCACATGTTGTAAACATCTGCCAAAGTACACCAAGCCTCCTGCAGTTCAAGACCCGCCCTGGGGACAGGCACTGCAGGCTGTTTCAGAAGCCACACTTCTGAGAAGGAACCTGCATTTTATTAACACGATGCATCAGAAAGCAGGGAAGTAGATCCAGAAGTGAAAATGCCTCCTGACTGCACCAGCAATGAAGGGTATGTACACTTTGTACATGCACATTTTACCCATAAAGGTGTTTTCATTTGACATCAACCCTGCTCAGACCTGGAAGTCATGTTGGGTTTTCTCTTCTTCTGCATCAACCACTGCAATGAAGCCCTCAGGGAGACAAAGCATCTCTTTCTCTTCCTGGCGTTAGTGCAAATATGATGTGACCCTGGAGGTGGAACTTGATGTGCAATTCTCTTGACGATGCAGAAGAAAAGATGTAAAATACACCCGCAGTCTAGACACAGAGCCAAGGAGAGATGTTTGGGCACTCACAACATCCTGACAATTCAAGCCTCCCTCCATGTTTTGAGGTTTACTCCTCTTACAACCTGATCATCTCTTCACAGGTAGGCACACTTAAACCCATTTCAGATCTTCCTTTCATCTTGCTCCTGCTTCGGAGATGCTGCTCCCCCAGCCTGACTCTGCGAAACCTCTCCCAAAACTGATGTTTATTCTGCTGCTAGGAGGTTTTTCGTTTGAAACAGAGCTGGCAGGTGATGGTGGGAGTGCTCAGACAAGAAGGGCAGCACACAGCACAAGCTAATGTATAACCTTAAAGACTTTCTTTTGGAAGTTTTTTTGCATGGAACTGTCTTAGGCAGTCAGCTACACAGAGAAGCACGATACTGCCAAATTGGTTTGAGACTCTGGTACCTCTCTTTTTGCACAGCAGCTCTTTTCCCCAAAGTGCCATGCAGCTTTTTACTCTGCTATAAACAGCAGGTTACACTTAAACAAGGAAAAAGGAGGGTCTCTCTGAAGCTTAACTAACATTCAGGGAAAGACTCAAAATGACAGATGTTTCAATCCCTAACATAAGGCTTGCATGTCGCCTTCCCTTCAGTGGTGAGTACCTGCCAGGGATGCAGTTTTACACTTAAAGAAATAAAACAGTACTTAACATCATCTAAGCTGCACCTTTAAGATAAAAACTAGCTGCTTTGCTATGAACCTCACTTGACCTACATTTTCTTTGCTGCTTGTTGCATTTTACAAGCATAAACATAGTGAAATGTTTTGTTATGAAAACAACTCCGCATTACTGAGTAGGTTCTGCTCTTCCATATAACCAGAGTCATCTCTTAACCATTCTGGCAATAAAAATAAGTTCTTTGCAGTCTTGCCAACTCTCAAATGCACATACCACAAGTCTCATGATACTTCATGCCATCTTAGAGTCATGGGCCTTGCAAACCTATAAATATACAACTAAATCTCAGCTTCTGTTTACAAAAAGAAAAAAAGCCTGCACTTTGTGATTTCTATGGCCTAAAAAGGCAGAAGGTACATGAAGTGAACTCAAATGAGCCCTCTATAAAATAACTAATGAACACTTTCAAATTAGAACATTTTAAGAACAGCCTCAAGATTTTGGAGCTCTGGCTCCTTATTTCAGGTTAGCAATGACTCTTTAGTTATTCCTAATCTTTTCATTGAACTTCAGAGCTGGATATTGCAGCTTGGCAATTCCTGGCTCGTGCTAAACCTGTTGTAATTTTTTATATGTATAAAACAGTTATGACTGCAGAGATCCTCATTCTTGTTTAAATTGTGGCTTCTTTCAACTACCAGGGCTATACACAGAAGCTTCTACATAAATAAAAATCAAGTCCCGCCCTTTAATAAATAATAAGTACTTTGTTCCCCAGGGAAAGGTAACTCCATGTTGTCCTACCATGTTTTTACAATCTCTTTTCAAGCTGTACCATGCTTTAGACTCCAGTGTGAATTTGTCAGCAGTATTGCAGAATAAGATGATCTAGCATAAGGGGCAAACCTAAGGGAGTAACTTGATCACTGAGTTTTTGAGGAGACTTTTTTGCATAGCATCATGAGGCATTAAGCAAGTAAGGCTTCCAACAATCTCTCTATGTGCATAAGATCTAAAATGTTGACTGTAGCAACAAATGCCCTATGAAAGGTCTCACATGCCATTAGTGCATGCATCTCCTTTGGAAATGGCTTGATTTCATCTTTGCCCCCAGAAAACCTCAACCACAATAAATACCAGGGTTATAATGCCTCTAGCTTATAATGCCTACAGCTCTCTGTGGAGGTTCAGTTCTGCACCAAGGCAGTGCAGGAACTGTCTCAGCACTGACTCATGCGTCTCCAGAGGAACCTTCAAAAGGAATTTTGGTACCTCAAAGTAAAAACAAATGTAATTTGAGGATTCAGCTCCTGCTTAAAAAGTTAAAGCAGTAATTAAGGCTACACATAAGGAGATGCTTTTCCTGGAAAACCTGATGCCTAAGGATCTCTTTGCAGTGGGAGAAGCAGGCTGCTGTCAAGCTGGTGGACCACAGTGCCCAGCTGTGGCTGTTTAATTAAAAAAATATTAACCTCATCATCTGAGTATGTGTTTTCCAAGCTTGCCCAGTTTTGCTTACAGTTGCTTTGTGTCACCACAAAAGCACACAGACACTAATTTCCACCTCAGCTGACCAAGGATCATGGTTGAATTATTTAGCTCAGCATCTACACACTGCAGATAGCTGAGACAATTCATAGGGCTGCATCTGGAAGGGTTTGCTTTCCCTCACACTTTTAGATCACTCAGTGTTGCTGGACAACAAAGTCACTTGCTAGACCACCTTTTTCTAACCAGCCGACTCGTTGAGCATGGCAGGAAAACTTTTTCTGTGTGAGGATAATTTGATTTGCAGAAAACATTCAGACTCACTGGCTCTGTTCTAAAATATTTTTCAGGAAATGTTGAATAAAAATGGCCTCATATTTTTATTTATTTTATCAGTTACTTTGAATACCAGTATATAAATAACATGGTGACAAAACAAATGACAGATGACAAGGAATAGCATCACAACCCTCACCCTCCTTGATTATGGCTACACAAGGCCAATTAATTTCTTGAGAACACCACAAGCCTCAGGAGCTAAATTATACATAGTTCAGCAACCTAAAATGCTGATTCAGAGAGTTTTAGTGTCCAAGTGGTACTGAAAATGTCAATAAGCGTCTACATGGGTTTCCTGCATCCCTACCATGTTAAAGACCTAGCTCAAATATAGCTTTTCAGTAAATTAAAAATATTTGATTGTTGTGATCTGCCATCTCTGATTTTATACAAAATTCAGAATTATTCTCCCTCAGATTGGATCTTGGCAACCTTTCCGTGTTTTTCTCCTTCTCCCTTTTAAGTACATCAGGCTCATCATTTCCTCCTTACAAGTGGGTTATCATGGACTTCTCTGGCACCTCCTACATAGCTTTTTAAGTTGCATTATTATGAAATGAAGACATAAAAAAAGAATACAAGAATAGCAGGTAGCAGATACTTATTAAATGTAAGGCTCCTTTATACAAGTCACAGGGTGCAAAAAGGCTGTAAAGTGTGTCACTGTGAATTCTGTTTATATTTACTCACTTTCACACTCCATTGTGGTAAAGGAGCCATGCAACAAGGCTTAAAGTGCAAATTACAGTCAGTCCCTTGGCTTTTATTAACTCTTCTTAAAATAAACTTTAGCCTGTAATCGCTTGTAGAAAGGAAAGTTATCTTCCGGAAAATAAGGAGAAAAAAAAAAAGACTGCAAAAAACCCCAAGATAGCCAAGCTGGGACTAGAAATTAAGCCCCACAGTACACTAGGAGCAGAAAACAGGATTCTGGAGAATCTGTTCATTAGTGGGTCATAATCACATTAAGAGACACCATCAACAGGAAAAAAATTAAGAATGACACCTATTTGCCTGTTTTAAAAGTATTATCATTACAAAAAGTGCCTCAAGTACTAATGCTGAAAGAGACAGAAGAAAACACTGCTTCTAGTTTTCCACTGTTTATCTTCCACATTAGAGTTGGTCCTTCTGTTCAGGTTTGCTACTGGTGGCTCTGGGCAGGGAGTCTTTCCCACAGGTACCCTGGAATGAAAATATTTGTCAAAAGAGGGGGAAATGTGATTGAAAACTCAAAAGAAAAAATGGTCAGTGTTGGAAGCATGGGAATTGAGTCTGAAAACTGCTTAAGATTTTTTTTTAAAGTTGACTAGACTTTGATTTGAAAGAGTTCACTCAATTACTGAGCAATGTATAAAGAAACAAAACATGTCTAAGAAAAATAATGGGCTTTCTTTGCAATTTCCAATAGCATTAGTGTCCAATCATAGTTTTAGCCTAGTGCTGCACTGGATTTATCCCTGCTTAAGAGTCCATCAGGCTTTCTGGGCACAGGTATCTCTAGAGAGAAATGAGCACTGGTGTCTGACAGGCTCATAGGTGCTGGGAAGATGGATGTGCAGGGCTAGTCCCACAGAGGACTGAGAGACTCCACACCCTGAGATGCTCCACTGCTACAGGTGGAGATCTCATGTATCATCCCTGGACAGATGCATAACTAAACTCCAGATAACTTCTTTCATAATTCAGCATGACCATCTGCCCAACACAATAAATAAATATCCTGCTTGCTGGGATCTGTGGTCCAGGAGAAGTCACTTCACGGCTCTTTGTTTCCATGGACCCATCAGTAACTCTGCGCTTACCTGTTCAAAAGGGAATTAGCGAATACTTGTCAAGCAGGTGGAGGGAAAACACTTGCTCTGGGAAGGGAAAGACCTACAACATTCCTACAATAATGATCTGTGCTAGGAGCTATTTTGTTTAAAAAAAAAAAAAAAGGAGCAAAATAAAACCCTTTCATTGAAGTTAACTCGCACTTGGCAGGTTACAAACCTCGTGTCGAGGTGCCGCTTTTCGGTGACTCTTCCTGCACTTCTGCTCACCACCGGGAAGGTCTGGACAAGGGGAAAAGCACCCCCCGACACCCTTCCCAAAGCCCAGTGCTGTGGTGCCGGTGCCTTTTCTGCACGAACTTGCCGCTGAAATCGGCGACGGGCGGGCGAGGAAGGGGCGCGGCGGCCGCGGCGGCACCTGCCCGGATTCCCCGGCCCCGGAGGGCCCGGAGGAGCGGCGGGGGGGGCGCGGCCCTCCTGTCATCCTGACTCCATTTTATCCCTGCCCATTCTCCATTTGCCGTGACAGTCCTGCCAGTCCGCCCGTCCCTGCGCCGTGCCCCAGCCCGGCATCCCGGGAGGATGGAGGCGCCGCGGGGGGAGCAGCAGCTGCAACCCCGCAGGGCGCGGGAGGCGGGGGGGGGCTCGCACCCCTCCTCCCCGCCCGCCCCGGGGCCCGCAGCCTCCCTGGGCCGGAGTGATGGGGATGAGGGGTGCGAGGGGGGTGCCCCCGCCCGCGGGGCCGCCCCCCACCGCCAGCGGACTCCATTTTGCAGATTGTGGGAGGATCCCCCCGGCCCCCGGCCCCGCCGCTCTCCATCACCGCATCCCTCCCTCCTGGGCACGGCCCCGTCCTCCGCCCCCTCGGCGCTCCCCCTCGGGTGCTCCCCCCAAAGCACCGGCGACCCGCACGGACGGAGCGTCCCAAAGCGGCGCAAGGGCTTCCCCACCCGCTCCCGCACCCACGCGGGGCACCCGCGCACGGCCGTGACCCCCGATCCCCTCCCGGGGCACTCACGAAATTGTCCCCGCAGGCGGCCTCCGGGCACAGCACGTAGAAGGAGACGCCGGGCTCGGCGTAGAAGTCCATGCGCCGCTCCGTCTCCTCGGCGGCGATGAGCTGGAAGGGCGTGCGGGCGCACCACCGCTCCGCCGCCTCCGCCAGCGCCTCGAAAGCCATCGCCGACCCCGCCGCCGCCGCCGCCGCCTCCCGCCCGCGTCCCCCGCACCGCCCGCGCCCCCCGCGCCTCGCAC